AAAGATCCAGGGGAGGAGGCAGGTGTATATGGGCCTGGATGTTGCAAGTGGAAGATGTGGCTGGTGAAGTCCGGTCTGTCTACGCTTGTTCATTTGTTTCTCTATAGCCTGATGGCGTCTATGGGCGTCCTTCTCCTCAGCCTTTGAAGGCCTCTTGGAAGCTTTGGATTTGCCCAAGCCCCTGGTCATTGTTCTGGAGGTAAAGGTCTTTGACCCTTTGCGCTTGCCATTTCCACTATAAATTTGTCAATGCGGCTTTAAAATATAGGGTGGTTGGCACACCCAGGGGCCTGCTCCTGAAGGTGCAGGGTATCCTTATAAAGTTCTTGTAATCCCCCTTCAAATTTGGTATTTGTAGAATTGATCTCCAATCCAATCAATTAAAATATAATTAGCAACACCTCTTCAGGCCAGAACTGAATGGTAACAATGGCCTGTGACAGCTGCTCTGCCTTGGTGCTTGCTGTGAAGCCGCTGGACTTATATTTTGTGAGGGCTAGCCAACAAATCAGGGCCGCTGCTCTGATGCTTCGGGAGCAGGGAAGCCAATCCCCTGGTCTCTATGAGGGGAACCCAATAGGGAACAATAATCCTCTCACAGTTTTTTTTTAATATGGTGAATGGGCGCCACTGCTTGGTGTGGACTTGGTGAGTCCAGCAGCTAGTTCCCGCCTGAATCACTGTTCTGAACAGTGAAAAGAGACTATGAGGGAAAAGATAAGAAGCACTTATGCTTCCAATCCCCTTCGGTGTTGTACAGGGGAAGAGCCTCAGCCATTTAAGAGCCAAACACGAGGCGAGCTCGCTGTTCAGAACGGCACTATAACGATTGGGAAATTAAGCGGCTGTAAAATACGTTTGAACTGCTGCTACAATGGCTTTTCCTAAAGAGGAAGCGAGCCCCAATGATCAATTTTGAGAGAAAACATTGGAGACTGTAGAGGCTTTGAATTGCTAATCTTGAGGGAAAACGCTGGAGGCTGTAGAGGCTTTGAATTGCTAATTCAGTCTCCTTGAAAGTTTATTCCTCCTAGAAAAGCACTGCTAGCCTCAATGGTCAGTTTAAAGAGACCGTAGTAGGCTATTGGGACTCCTAGATGACAAGAAAGGGGTCCCTGAATTTAGTGAAAAAGCCAACCTGATGTTTTGTTCTCTTTCAGTTTTAGCTGCTATTCCGGCCAATCTGGAAAGCTCCCTATCTCAATGAAGGCTGAGCTAAAACTGGGGAATGCTGAGGAGTCCCGTGGAGGAGGAGGAGTGTCCTGCAAAATAAGCCCAGCCTATCCAAGAGGAGACTGAAGCACCTCCCACTACTGGATGCTCTGAACAGCTCAGGGGAGAACGTTCCTTACCTAAACAAAACATTGGTGGGGAGCCATTTTTATTTTTCAAAAATTGATTTAGGAATTACTTAGTCTAAGGAACATGCTCACATACAATAATCTACACTCAGCATAGCAAAATTAGCAAAATTGACAAAAGTGAAGGTGGTCTGAATAGTTTCTGAATGCACTATAGATAATGCAAGGCAATGCAGATACTTCAAAGATGATTTTTCAACTTTTTCCCTTTAAAGGTATTAAAGATGAAGTAGAGTCTGATGGACACAGCAGCATTTGAAGCTTCAGTAGTTCTTCCAGTACCATTTGAGAAATACATTTTCTTGTGCTTAAACATTTAACCTGGATTTCATGTTATGTAAGGGTTTTCTCTTTAAAATCTAACTATTTGATTTGCTTCCTGGCTGTGGTGCCATCCCTAAGAACAAGCTATTTACTGATAAACATTATTACCTTGTTAGTTATCTGTAACAATAAGTATCTGTCATGTTGTAAACTAAATCCACTTGAAAATACAAGCCATCTCTGCATTTTTAGTCTTTCTGCTGTTATTATAATCATGATCACATTGGAAATCTATAGCTTAATTTAGCATATGCTTTCTAACATACAATTACATGATACAGTTCTACAGAGGAATTATTTAGTCTGTCATCTGCACCTCTATAACTGTCTGGTTTGGTTCTGCAACCCATCAAGACAGACAGACTTCAGAGGATAATTAGGATTGCAGAAAAACAATTACTACCAACCCACTGTTAATTGAGGACCTATATACTGCACAAGTCAAAAGAGGGCTGTGAAAATATTTACAGATCCCTCACATCCCACACATAAACTGTTCCAGCTCCTACCCTCAAAATGACACTATAGAGCACTGCACACCAGAACGACTAGATACAAATTTTTCCCCAAACACCATCACTCTGCTAAACAAATAATTCCCTCAACACTGTCCAAATAGTTAAAGTCTGCACTATTACTATTAATTTTCTCATTACTCCTTACATCCCCTCCCACTTGTGACTGTATGACTGTAACTTTGTTGCTTGTATCCTTACGATTTATACTGACTGTTTCCTAGTATGATTTGATTGCTTATTGTAGTCTATGACTATTATTAAATGTTGTACCTTATGATTATTGACTCTTGATGAATATATCTTTTCTTTTATGTACACTGAAAGCATTTGCACCAAGACAAATTCCTTGTGTGTCCAATCACACTTGGGCAATAAAGAATTCTATTCTATATCTATCTAACAAACATATTTTAAAAGAATTGATGTTTTACTACATTTTAGGAAGAAACAAATTAAAATATTTTTTTAAATTCTAAGAACCAACAATATATTGAAGCAACTGAAAACAGAAATAACTATAACAATTCCTTTCACATTTTAGTATTTATAAATTACTACACAACCAGTGATTTGTTGGGTCATTTCAGACATACTTCCTTACCTAAAAAGAGAAACAGAATGACCATAGACAGGGGGGGAAAACAGAACTTCTGGATTCCTGCTGGCTTGCCCATTGATTTTCGTTGTAGGAAGCCAGCAAGGAGCATTGAAAATAATGACCTGACTGTGGCAGTGTGACAGTGCTGAAGTGGCCACAACTTTGCCAAATTTCAATCCTGGATTTTGGACTCATTCTTTAAGTTAGTCCATTAGAGGCATGTTGATTCAAAAACTGTTGCCATGTGATGCACTGTTTTGTCCAAGTGAAGGTTACAGACAGACAGGAAGATTTTAGCAATATGGAGCTAGCATATATACATTCTGCATTCTTTATATTTCATCTTCAAAGCAAACAAATCTGAATTCAGAGAAGGCTGTTCGTGGTTTTCATCAGGGAGACCATGAATTCAGCTCACTTAATTCCATGACAAACAATAGATTAAACTTCTACAATGTAACTTTTGAAAATTTTTAAATATTACTTTATTAACTGATTTTTAAAATAAACAATTTTACACCAGTGTTTCTGTGGGGATAAGGCAATTAGACATATATCCCTCAGTTTTTCAGTTGTTTTAAACCTTCTAGTAAGCGAAATCAGATTTATGTTGTGTTATGTTATAAACAAACAGAAGAAAAAAACCAAGCAATACATAATTTTGTTGAAGTATTTATTGAAAGTGTACAAGTTCCATAAAGGTGAGGAAAACATTTTTTGTAAAAAAATTCAATAAAATTTCTTGTTGACATGTTGTACATCAATCATTAAAAACAATAGCAAAACAAATGCCCAAACACACCAGTGTGCACTGAGAAGAAAATTTTAAAAAAATCTTACATAGTCAAACATCATTGGCCTTTGCAATTATAGCACATAGCTGTAACACCTTTATCCCTAGTACTGGCTCTAGCAAGAGAAGATGAACCTGGAAGGGAAATAACACCCCATACCACTGGCAGTGAACTGCTGTAAGGAGGTTACTTATACAATATCTAGGTACAACTAGACTGGGACATAACTTCATATTTTATTGGCATTTGAACATATCTATAGCTAAACAATATGAGAAAACCAGAAATCATAAAAACATTCGGGTTCACTAACTCACCTTTGAAATTTAGCTATTCATGTGTGTGTATGAGAGACAGAAAGAGGCAGAAAGTCACAGAGAAGCTACAGAGAAATCTGACTTTTTTTACCATTTTTTTTATATTCTATGTATGACCTCAATCAGCCACAACTGTAGTTGAATAGTTTTATGCTGAAGCACATACTATAAACATAAACATCTTCAAACTTGCTGTCTAATCATTCGTCCAGCTACATTCACATGAAAGTCTATCACAAAATTTCTCTAAAGGGTCCATTTTCAGGACACTAATAGTTTAGGCAACCATTTCATCAGAAAGGATTTTTTTTTTCTAATAAAGAGTTATGTGCAAACTGAAGGAAAAAAAGCAGCATCTTATGCTGTAAGCATTAAACATACATGCAATTAGTTACAGGTAGCCCTCAACTTATAACCATTGTTTAGTGACCATTTGGTTACAACAGCACTGAGAAAAGGGTCTTATGATTGTTTTTCACGCTTATGACTGTTATAGTGTCTCCATGGTCATGTGACTGGCATTATATTTATGATGGCTGCAGTGTCATCAACCTTCTGACAAGCAGTCACTTAACAACTGCAGCAATTCATTCTTAACAACTGTGGCAAGAAAGCTCATAAATAGGGTAAAATGTACTTTAAGTCTTGCTTACCAATGGAAATTTTGGGCTCAATTGTGGTGATAAGTTGAGGAATAGCTGCATTATTCTCCAAGGCCTTGCAGGGCAAAAAATTGCTATCTGTCCCATTTAAAGTAATCCCCACCAAGGCAAAATTCAATGCTATCCTGCTATCCTTAAGACTTCTCATTATTTAGGTTTCCTCTTTTCTCTAAAAACACTCCAAAGACATGAACAGAATATTATCAGAGTGTACAACAAAGCAATATCAAGGGATTTTTGTTCTCCATACCATTATTTATTCTGTTGGTGATGGAAATAAACTATATACTACACTTCTGAGAAGGTCTATTGATGAATTTTGATCTGGCAAGGTCCCTGTTTTTGTTATCTTTTATAACTGATGTGTAAAATATAGTCAGAAAATATATATTATAGAGTATTATCAGTTCTTAATAATGCATTTCATGTTATAGGCTACACTGAACATGACTGCAAATCAGTTGACATTGGATTTTTAATATCTTCACATAAGAGTTACTTTACTATGTTGTGATTCCTATTTCCAAATACAGGATACAATAATCAATTCTGGTTTTGAGAGATTTCAGGAATCCTTGCCATATGACCACTTCTATTCAATTTGCATGTCAGCAGTCAACTTCTAACAATATTAAACAGGCCATTATTTTTCTGTCTCATTTTTCTGGATTTTTATCTCCAAAAACTTGCAACTCATTTAGTATATATTTTAGCTAATTTAAACTTGCAAAGAGGCACAAGGTTAAAGAGAAGTCTATCTTTCTTTATGGATTGTTCCTTGATTCTCATTTTGCCATCAGAAACCTGTCCTTTGGGTAATCTGTTTTGCTTTCTTTCATTTTCCCAGTTTTTCTTCTCCCCTTATCTCAATGTTGCTGCTTCTCTACATGTTGGGTGAAAATAAGATGTATTCCCCTCCTTTTAATGAAAGTAGGAAATATTGGTAGAACAATGGGCAAGAGTACATGAAGAATATCCAGTTCCACTTTGGTCACTGCCTTTAAAAATAAGAGGAATTATCCTTTCTTGTTTCTTCAAATATATAGCCCTTGTGTACTATTAACCATGAATCATAAAAGGCACAGAAATTATCTTCTTTCTCAAACCAACTCCTAGAAAATGCTTCTCAACAATCTCCCAAGTTCTTAGCTGCATTTGGAAGAAAGAGGAATGCTATAAATTCTCCATGTGACTTGGAAGTACAAAGCCTCTGACTCTGGAAAAGAGTCCAAGTTATCTGCCTTGCTTTTACAATTTTCTTGAACTTTATCATTCCTACCTCTCTTGAAATCATTAGCTTAAATGCTCACATACCACAGAAGGGTACCACACAGACAGCTAATCTGAGGTTTGAAGAAACAAAAAAACTGCTGTTCTAAATGAGAACTATGCTTACTATGAGGTAACATCTTGTGACTGCAAATCAATTGAGTCCTCTCACTGCATTAAAGTAGAAGTGCTTTAATTAAGCCCTTGCTGGTTATAATATACGAATCCTCAAATTATTACAATCATAGGGGCTAAATAAATTCTGTTCTCTTAATAAAAGTTGAAGTGTCAGTTTTTTAAATGTGCATTTGAAGGCCAGCCTCAAATGTCTTGAGAGTCATTTACTATTAACATTTGTTCTGGCATCAACGAGGACAGTGAAAATCATGTCTAAAAGATTTCACTCTTTTTCATTATTCCTAATGGAAATTTGGCCCTTTAATATTTCCATAAATCACCTGAAGGATTTGACACAGTCTATCAAATCAAAGCTGCTCTTTAACATGAAACAACAGGAATGGATTTAGATAAAGTGCAGATATCCTTTTGCACAAATATAATCCAACTCTCTTGTTTCATAAAGCTGGAGCATTAAACATTTTGAGAATGCACATATGTGTCTAGAATATGTGGGGCTTCACATTGTTTGAGCAATGCCCTTTTTCTGCATGGTACTGTTCTCTCACACAACCTACATCTGCTTTAAACTAAAATTAAAATATCATTAAGTCAAGTAAGAAATACTTAGCTCTCCCATTATGTTTCATACAGTAAATCTAGATGACCCACAAATTTAAGACTGTGGAATGGGTGTAAGACTATTTTGCTCTGCTAAAATATCTGAATACAGAATAAAACAGAAATAAAAATAAAGCAATACAATATAGGACCAAAATACAACAGCAATCAAATAATACTTTAAAAAGACTTCCAGAAGGATAGTGTTGTGTCTGTCCAGCCTCTTCATGCATTTGCTTGGACCGATGGAGAGAAAACAGACCTAGGCATATAACATCATGTCCACTCTCACAAATCTCCATTATGTTCAGGAAAAAAGTTGAAGAGCTTTATTCTGGTACATTCATGTACCATAAAAGCACATACTTCTCATTTGCTGTAGGAATGGATTACAGCAGAATGCAGAACCACAATAAACAACCTATGTGATCTTGCATGCAAGTCCAGATCTTTTAGAGCTTCTACTGGTATGTCAGGCTGAGGGCTATGTTAAGTGCAGTCTCCGCTCTCCCCTCCATGTTCATGCATTCAGAAAATACCAGAACAGGCTTCTGTGGCAGCAAACGCGAAGAAGTGTTTTGGTACTTTAAAAACTAACAGCTATATAATAACATTAACATTCCTGCATCAGAACCTAGGTTGTTAAATGGACAAACCAACCACCTATCTGGGTAAATCAAAATGCAAGTTTTTACTCAGTTGATTAAATTTAGCAAGAACCAAGAATCCAAACAATGTAGGGGTAATTATTTAAAATATTGTATTACTAATGTAACAAAACAAATCGAAGATCTACTTGAGGTGGATGTGTTTCATTTCCAACTAACATTGCATCAAAAACATTACTGATGTTGCTATGTCCATTTACCTACCAGTCTGGAATAGGTTACACTGCTATGATACTTTTATTTACTTAAAGATACCAGAATATATTGTTTTCTAACTTCTCTCTAACTATCCCCCAACGGCTCTATCTTGTGCCATTTAATCAGCTTGGTAAATACACTTTTCTATCCATATTAGCTCAGACCCTTTCACAAGCAAACATAACAGAAATTTCTTATCTTTAATTCTTCCATAAGTATAGTTCATTTAAAAAAGTACTAAAAATGAAATGGGCCACATCAATGAAAGCATAAAAAGATTCTTAGCTTAACACCCTAACAATATTGCTACTCCAAAAGGAGACATGTCCATTGAAATAAATTGCTTCAACAATATCATGCCCAACAAACTATTACCCTCAACAGACCCACAAAACAGTACTTTGACAAGCAAAAAAACCACCATGCATGCATGGCCCTTTTAAGATCATATGACTATAGGGTTTATATAGTATAGTGGCAAGACATGATAGAATCAGGTATATATGCCAAAGGCAATTCAAGATTTTGACAGTAACTTAAAAAACTAAGTAGTCCCAAGAGGCACCGTTGTGACAATTAATTGGCGTTCTGGGGAAAAAGGATGGAAATATGTCCTGAAATACAACATTAGGAATAAATCATGACATGATTAGCTGAAGTGCACTAAAATGCTATTTTCAGACAAGAAATTCCACACGTGCTTTTTCCCCTTTCTCAACCCTTTCAAGGTGTGACAATATTGCTTTTTTTCTTTGTCTGAATGATGTTACACTAATCTGGGGAAAGGAGCAAAATCAGCTGGTCTGATGACAGAATACTGAAAAAGTTTTAATCCATTGGTCCCAGTGAAAAAAATGTAGCAAGAAAAGTGCAATTATCCTGATGATGATGAAATTTCTTAAAAATGCACATTTGTAAATACTATCTTCATATGAATTAATGATTTCCTTTTTTTTCTCCGGAAAACAGATATTCTGCTAAGAAAAGTTGGGATGTCTTTTTCATTGTTCAAACTCAAAGTTTACACTGAAGCACAGAAGTATCAGAAAAAAAACTGGTCCCTCCAGTTGTCAGGAATTGTGGAGATCTTCTTTATGGTACCAAAGCAGCATGCTCAGAGTCTGCATCCATCCCAAGACAAATACATTTGGCCCTCTGCTGCTCCTTTTTTCCTAGATCTCACTGGAGGCTGACATTCGTGGCATGGTGTGTAAGATACTACCTATGACCTGTTTATAGAACCATCAGCTGTTGTGATACAAAGAGATGTCATCTAGAAAGTTTAATCACAGTTGTTTCCATAAAATCCCCTCCCCCCTCCATTAGCCACGTGGAGCTTATCCTTCAGTTTCTTCACTATGTCCTGACTGCTGGAGCACAGACATCTGTGATATTACTTTGCTCGTTCCACGAGAGAGGCGCTCTTGGTCTGTGTTTGCTGAAAGGGAGGCCATGGAAAGAGGTTGCAGCAGCGTGGGTGTCATACCAGTCGTGACGGTCAGATTATGAGTAGCACCTTTGAGGGTAAGATCTTGTGTGGGAAGAAGGGGCTTGAGAATGCTGACAAGGCAGAAGGCAGAGCCACTTTTAGGAATAAAGTTAACTTTATTCTTGTCAGGACAATAAAAGGCTGGAATTTCATGCAAAGGTTTTGGCCTACAAACAAACAAAAAACACAATACCACAGGGTGTTAACTTTTGGAAGTTAAAGATTAACAAAGTTAAAGGCTGCAAGGAATTACCAAAAGTTTATGGCATGTTGTATAACATAGCATGAAATACTTTTCCCTTTTTGTCCCAAATAAATGAGAGTTGTTCACAAATAGGGGAGGAAATGCTGCTGCATATAGTAGCAATTTTATCTCCGAATCTGGTTATTTGCAAAGTAGTCAAAACATGTTGGCACGTCTATTATTTATTTTATTTATTTATTTGATTTGTCAATCGCTTACAAGATAACAGGTATAACATAGTTATGAATACATGAAATGGATACATATAAGAAAAATAAAAAGAAACAATAGGGCAGGGACTGTAGGCACGTTGGTGCGCTTATGCATGCCCCCTACAAGTTACTTATACTATAAGTAGTCCTCCATTTAATACCACAATTGGGGCCAGAATTTTTGCTGCTAAGTGGTGCAATTGTGCAGTGTAAAGTCAAATCTCAGGAAGCTGCAATAGTGTGGCACAAAGCTGCAGCACTCTGAGAAGTCCCAACAGCACCGCTGCCCAAGCCAAGTTACCTTTGCCACCCTGCCTTTCGAAGACCCTGCCTGCCAAAGACCCTGCCCGCCACCACCCCATCTAACCTTTGCTATATTCTTGCTCCTGCTACTGACAACATGGGCCCACTCTGGCTCTTTACAAGGCAGGTGCTGGCTATGTCAGGTCTCATGAGGAAGCTGCCATGCACAACCTTGGGAAGAATGCCTTGTGCAGCCTAGTAGCTGCCTTGTGGAAGGCCAGGCCAGGTCAGTAGCAGGAGCAAGATGGCGAAGGTCAGCTGGGCTGATAGGGGCTGAAGAATGTAGGAGCCAAAAAGGCATAAATGGGAGGGAGATAGGAGAGGATTGACTTGAAGCACTGCAATCATAAACATGGGAAGGCCGATCAAATTTTGATCACATGACCATGGGAACGCTGCAACGGCTGTATTTCAAGGACTAGTTGTAAATTCCTTCATTTAACACTGCTGTAATTTTGAACAGTTGCTGAATGAATTATCATTAAGTTGAGGACTACTTTTATCTTTTTCCTCTCTAACCCTAAAGAAATTAAAATTGGCTACCCCTTGATTCTAACAGGGCCAGTACTGAATATCTTGTTCTTAGCTTTCTATTGGGTCACAGCCTCCCACAGAAAATGCATGCAGAAAGCTCTGAATTGGCACTTTAAATCCAAAGGGGTATAGTTCCTTGGCAACTTCCAGGTGTGTCGATTTAAAAACCCCAAAATCCATAGCTAACATGGCCACTGAGAATTTTGGGGGTTGATGTACACATACCAGGAAGTTGCCAAGGATGGGAAACACTGGTTTAGGTTTTCAGCAGATATCAAAAAAGGGGAAATGTTCAAAAGACATTTTTGTCAGTACATTTTTGCAAAATGCATATGAATAGCAGGGGGGAATGATTCCTGCTTTCTCAAAAGTGGTCTAGGAACTGCTTTAAATAATTATAACCACCCCCCAAAAACAAACATAAAGTTAAACGTATAGATATGTTCGCCTTTACCCCAAAAAGTAAGAAACATTAAGTATAAAGCTATACCATCAAATTTAGAAATTTAGAAACTAGTTAAGATACTATGATTCAAAAAATTATGAAGTAACATAACAACTTACAAGCTTTCCTCAAACACTTTGACTTTCTCACAGCCTTCAGGAGGTTCACGTTTGAACATATAGCTATTGTTAGGTTTTGGTGATGTAGCATATTTGGGCAGAGGAGAATTGTTTCCATTCTCTGTGGTGAGCAAAGGGCCAGTTACATATACATATATCATAACATGCATGGAATATTTTTTGCTTTTCTCATACTCCTTTATGAACAATGTTAAAAGGCAAACAAAAGCCTGATCAACTGGCATAAAACAGTTTCTTACTGTCTGCATGGTTTTTATTATACATAAAAAAGCAACCTGGTACTCTTCAGATGTTTTGGATGATCACCTAAATAATTATTGATCATTAGTCAAGTTCAGACTGCTGAAAAGCACAGATCTATTGTACCTATGTAGGCATTTTGCTCATTAACATGTAACAGCTAAACTATTACCTTTGGCAGCCTTTAACACTACATCTTAAGCAAAGGCATTGCTATCCAAGTGGCAGGCACTGACTCATTTGCTTTAAAAATGTGATTTAAATTACAATTTTCTATGACCCCCTCCATCTCCCTTCCTCAGTTCCTTGAGTCTACTTAGATATGTATATGCATGTTAAATAAAAACAAATAAAAATGATCAACAACCTATATGAATTATTTTTAAACATTTACATACCTCCATTAAGTACAAAAAAGAAAATATAAAAATAAACTGGTGGGCAACAAAAGAATGATTCCCCAAAAAACCCAACCAAAATAATACATTTTTCCCACTTGTAATAATGGAGAAGAAACTATTCCCCCATCTCCCTTTCCCCTCCACCCCCACCAAAATGAAAAAAGTAGTTTTATTAGCCCATTGCTTAAAACTCTCACTCAGCACAGGGAAACTGCAAACATTTTAAAAAGTGGTTTATGATATGACTCAAAGTTGAGCTTCCCTTTGGCAGGTGATAAATACCTTGCCCGAACTGACAAAAGACGCTGTGAATTTTGGCCTGTAACTCAAATATCTAGGAAACAAACAATGTTTCTTAACTGAAGGGTGAGTCCTAGAGGTTCCCCTCTAAGGAAAGCATTGGAATACTTTTCAGGAAATACCTTTATCTCTGGGATCCATAAGCAGGTCATCTGCAGAGCAAGGGCTCTCCTCACTGCCCTCATTGGAGATAGCAAGGAAGGAGCTTGGGGAAATAGACTGAGATCGGCTGCTGTTGTTACTGCCTTTGTCTGCTCCACCCGGAGTCTGTGTGTCAATGCTGCGAGTACTGCTGCTACGCTGCACTAAAGGAGGTGGTGCTCGATGCCCATCTGGAATATCTTGTGGCTATTGAACAAAAACATATTACATACATCTTACATGCTACACACTATTAATCTTGTCTGGTGACTTTAATAAATGAAAAATAAAGATGATTTTATTGCTTTGCCAATAAATCTCTTCAACTGAAAGTCAGTTGTTCTTCAGGTTCCCAAGAAAAAAAGGGAACCAAACTAAATGTAAGAAGGATACATAAAGAAGCCTTTCAGAGCTTTGGAGCTCCAGTTAATGACATATGCAACCACTGTTCCTCCTTATGTTCCAGAAGAAAACAAGGCTCAATGTAAGCGTGTTAACTAGAAATAAAGACCTAATTCTGGTTTAAGATTATATTATTACTGACATTAGTACAGTTCCTGAGTTTAGAGAAGAACTACGATTTCAGAGAAATCTAGATTAAAGGGTAAAGACAACATGAAGCAGGGGTAGTGATAAGAAACTGATATGCAGGCATGATGCTTACTCCTGGCTTTGTTTATAGATGCTGAATGTCAGAATTCTAAATATTATATTTTCCCCAGACAGATTTCAATGTAACAGTTACAAGATGATAGCTTATCTTTCATACTCCATATGCTCATGTATACAGAGTGTGCTTATATATGGGCATGATAGATTTGGCTCTCCTTATCTGAAGGCCTGTTTGAGTACAAATATACTCACAATAAGCTGTTCCTCTTTCTCTCCAGTCTCTTTTATAATTATTTCAATCTCCTGATTCAGCCCTTCTATGCTATTACGGAAACGGGATCCACTTGACTTAGCTATTGGTATCACAGGAACCAGCATGCTCTTTGGGACTGGAGCCTGAAAACCCAACAGAGGTAACAGAAAATCAGGGTTATATCATATAATGTAGAAAGTAAATCAAATTATCTGTAAGATTTTATTATAATGACAAAATGCATCTGGTTTATTTGGAGAATTTTAGATGATATGTACTATTTTATTATTGCACATTTTTGTATTTATAATCCTTGTTCCTTGAATCCTGTATAGAAGTATAAATACATAACAGTATCCATACTTCATTCAATTGATCTATTGCAGGGCTGTCAAACTCGCGGCCCACAGGCTGGATGCATCACACACTGGCCACACCCATAACCGGTTTAATGAAAGAGAAAAAAGTCATGTCATGTGACGACACCATGACAACGCGAGTTTGACACCCCTGATCTATTGTATTCAAGCTACCATTCTGATACAGACAGAACAGGAAGAACCCAAACAATGAAAATATTAATTTTTAAAAACGGTGCTCAGCTGTTTTCCTGGATGTTTTTAGCTATTTTTTAAAAAAAGAACCAGAACTAGAAATGTGAAGAGGAAATGAAAATATCTCTTGGTGTCAGTGTTCCAGCAAACCTCCATTCCAATCAGTAACTCAGAGACAAACCTATCTCAAAAATACCTTTATTAGAATAGCACCTGGCACATCTGTGGAATCCCGAATCTAAAGTTTTTCGGGCTTTCCACAATTTCCCAAACTACAAATCCATCCCCCCTTGGCCGTCATCACATCACATGGCCCAATCACCATCCGTCCAAAAGTAAGATCCTTATTTCATACTGAGCCATACTAAATGACCTTCAACTAACAAAATAATTTTATTTTGTCTATTACAGCTACTTAATTGAAATCACCCCCCTCCCACTTTCTCAGGCTATGTGGCAGCATGGAATATGGCTTCCAAAGCTGCAACTTGGGTTAATACTTCAAAAAGCTTTGGAACAGATAAATCGCAAACATAACAGTCAATTTAGTTCAGAATTTCAGTTTAGTTTAATTTCAATTTAATTTCAGTTTAATGAAATGAAAATGCTTGATCTCCATCAGCACTTTCATAGCATCTACAGTTCCAGATCTTTTATTATGGAGATGCAAGATACACATCATAATGAAGTGCATTATGAAGAATTAGAGTACAGAGTTTTGCTTTGGCATTTCAACCCAAATTTATATATTTCTGTCAAAGGTGTAAGTATCTGCTGGAGGCTCAAAGGAAGCATCGATCACTAAACAACCAGTTTTCAAGACTTAAAACATAATTATTCTACTTCTTTTACTTTAATACCACATATCAAGAAATGATAGCAAGGACAGTATTCAACTATTAACTTTTTTCCAAACTATAAAATACAGTGAGATCCCTGGTGCTTTCTTGAGATTGGTTGCCACAAAGTCAAAACCAAGAAAAATAAAAATGTCAGGAAAAAAAATAACAAAGCTTCAGGGAACTGTAAAAAGAGACCAGAAGCAGTACTACAATTGCAACTTGAACAACTAATCAACAAGAGAACCAATCAGCTGCTCAGAATTTAAATATATCTCCAAACAAACAATCAATCACACAATCAACTGACCAAACTGGCACACAAGACTAGGCACACACAAGGCACACATAAGCTAAGGAGAACAGGAGAAGAAAATCCTGCTAATGATGTTATCTAGTCTGGTAACATTCAGAAACTAAATTGAAATAAACCACTGCCAAAATCTAAAACCTGAGCTACAAGTATTTTCTATTAGTTTGAAGACTGCCTGAATACAAAACAGGAAACTACAGTACATCATAGACAGAACATGGGAAACAGGCTGGGTTGGCCAAGAAGGAAGTTCAAGTTGTCTAGTCTCTTCTTTAATCAAACTATATGGAGGATATATGTTAATGGAAACTGGATAAAAAGGAGATGAGTGAGGTTTTAAAAGTGGAGAAAAAATCATCAATAAGCACTATGCTTATGACACTACTCTTATAGCTGTAATACAAAGTATTTGCTGGCTCTGGTGATAAAAGTCATCAATGAACAATAAAAAATGGGACTTAAAAGAAAACCAAACTAATGATAGCAACCACAGAACCGACAACAAATATATCAAAGTGGTGAACAGCTTCTACCTTTTAGAATCAACTATCAATAGAGAAAACAACAATCCAAAAATATACTCAGATTTGATTAAAGAGCCCTGAAGATATTAGAAAAGATATTAAATTTGATTTGCATTACAAACAAGAAGGTACCTTACAGTAGTTCCTGTCATAGTTGCCAAGATTTAGTTCCTCCAATGTTACTCACTGTGATACACCTTGTAGGTACAAATGGCACCACTGTAAAATAGCACTTTTTATTCCCAAATCACAGAAGTCTTGGTTAAATGGTAGCAAGAGCAACCAACCATTCATTTCCTAGTAAAGATCATTCATTTGTGCAAAAAAGACTCTATTTTCTCTAACTGTACCCAGAACTAGATATCAACCGCTCTCAAATACCTAAAGTAAAATATTTTAGAGGGGCTATGTAACTATTTTCAAGTTGTTCAAATCAATTGAAGTGGAAACAATATTCACTAGTATGATCTCTTCCTCCTGTAGTGCTAGCAGCTTTCAGACATTGTTTTTGGCAAGTCAGTGCCTGAAATACATTGAACTTCCTTGGCAATAACTTTTACAAATCTTACATTTAGAGCTCATCTTACCTGGCACTGGTTAATAGCTGCATGATTACCATGAAATGGAGACTGTCTTTCTTTATCACGATGGTGTCTGCTGCTGTGTTTGCTTCTTTGCAGTTGCTGACGTAACTTTGCAATCTGCAAGGACAAATGTTTTTAACTCTACAATAAAAATGCTGAATTTTTGAATCACAACTCACCATAAGGGCTCCTGGTAACATTATTATATTAGATGCTTATATATAAAACATTCTCACTTGTTACAACAAAGCAGAAAAGAATTTAAAAATTAAATAAACAACTTTCTGAAGTTTTAAATTTTGTTTTTAAAAAATATTTTTAAAAGTCAACAAAGAAAGCAATTCCTCAAATGCTGAACAGCCACTGTGCCTCCAGCATTTCTGGATCAGACACAAAGACAACTCCCCAAAGGGGGTATTATATTAATGAAAACACCAACACAAGCACACCTGTCTCAGTCTGAGAAACCAGAGGAAGGATCACATTCAAAAGCATCCCCAAACTGTGAATGTGCTCCTTCTGGGATATGCAAACCCAAGTAGAATAGGACTTTCAGTTTTGTGGAATTTTTTACTGACTTGGATCCAGAGCATATTCCAGTAGTAGCAGCCTACTCTGTGCTCTGATACTATTGATGATTTGGGGGAATGATTTTTCGTGATTACCTCTTTGTTCATCATTCCTTTTGTTTTGTTTTGTTTTTCAAAATTAAAATAAACTTTATTAAAGATTAAAAAGAAAAATATATACAATGTGTAAGATACAACGTTCTATCTACGCTGCAAGAGAGTCCAGGAATAGGAATGGGTTAAGCTCCTCCTTCTGACATCATCGAGCTGAGTCTGCCACTATAAAAAGCCAGCCTTTGGCTGGCCCGTCCAACTTTTAGGCAAGGATACTTGACAGACGTAATGTGTCTCTGAAAGATAAAGAAGAAATTAATTTCACCCCTCCCCAACCATCATAACCAGATGTATGGGGTGGGGCTGGACTCTCTTGCAGCGTAGAAAGGGCGTTCTCAGATAATTATACTGCCCATTCTCATTCACGCTGCCTTGAGAGTCCAGGAATGGGACATACCAAAGCCTGCATGTCCACGGGAGGCCAACATCTGGTCCATCTCCGACTGAGGAACCACCTGTTGAAGCACCCTCCAACCAAACGATGCCTGGGCTGAAGCAAATGAATCTAGGCAATAATGTCGTATAAACGGCAAAGCTGAAGCCCAGGTAGCCGCTCTGCAGATCTCCTCCAGCGACGCCTGAGTAGACCAGGCAGCCGAAGTAACTGCATTCCTAGTGGAGTGGGCCGAGACGTGTCTGGGAACTGGCACGGATAAAGTTTAGTACGGCTTGGATATACCAGCTCTAATCCACCTACCAATTGTAGATGCAGTCATCTTGTTCCCCAGGGTAGAGGGATGAAACGACAAAAACATGGCTTCAGATTTTCGAAAGGCCACTGTCCGTTTGATGTAAATCCAGAGGGCCCACCTCACATCCAGCATATGCCACCTGTGTTCCAATTCATGTTGTGGTCTGGGGCAAAATCTGTCAACACAACATCTTGTGCCTGGTGAAACCAAATGTTTATCTTAGGGACAAACGTGGGGTCTAACCTAAGAACTACCTTGTTCTGATGGAAGACACAGGTCCTGTCGTACCAAGAGTGCCGCTAATTCAGACACTCTCCTGGCCAAGGTAAAGGCCACTAAAAATTGTACCCTGAAGGACAGCATTTGTAGAGATACAGATCTGAGGGGCTCAAAAGGGGGCCTCATTAGAGCTTGTAACACTTTTAGGTAAATCCCAAGTGGGAAAGCTATGTACAACAGGGGGTCGAAGGTTAGATGCCCCTGTTAGGAACTTGCGCACCGAAGGGTGATGGGACCAAGAAGCATATCCCTCCCAAATAGAACAGGGGAGAGAGCTGCTACCTGGTGGCGAAGCGTGTTAGGGGTAAGTCCCTTGTCTAAGCCCTCTTGTAGGAACAAGAGTTGCTCCCCTCCACTCCCTGGGTTGGAAACCTGATGAAGAACCTGCCCAACTGGGCAGTCTGGGGGGTGGCAAAGAGGTCTACGGTTGGAGGACCGAATCGGCATGACAAGTCCTGAAACAGAGAGGGGTGTAGACTCCACTGTGCCTGGTCTACTGTGGAGCAACTCAACCAGTTGGTCTGGACATTGTCAACTCCCAATATATGGTCCGCCCTGATTGAAAGGAGGTATCTCTCCACCCACATCCCCAGGCTCTCTGCCTCTCTCATCAAGGCCCTAGACCTGGTCCCCCTTGCCTGTTGAGATGGGTCTTTGTGGCCACATTGTCCGTCATGACTAACACATAGTGACCAGCCACCCTGTTCCGGAAGTGTTTTAGGGCTAAGAAAATAGCCCTGAGTTCCAGCCAATTTATGGGGCACGTCCTTTCTGACTGACCAACATCCCTGGGCTATATTTCCCCCTCCAGATGGGCTCCCCAGCCATGGAGACTGGCATCTATGGTGAGCTGGCTCCTGTCTGGCTCCTTGAAGGGAAGACCCCTCTCTAGAGCCTGGGACTGCCACCAAGCAAAGGACCGAAGGACCTGAGAAGGAACCTGTACCCTTATGGTAGAATGGCTTGTTCCTGCCCGTTGAAAGGGAAGCAAGAACCATTGGATTTCCCGGGCATGGAGATGGGCCCATGGGACGATCCCAATGCAGGAGATCATCTTTCCCAGGATCTGGGACAGTAGAGACAACGGGACAGTGCTCTGACGCAGAATCTGACTAATGCCACTGTGAAGGCTCTCCCCTCGGTCCGGGGAGTGGAACACCTCGCAAAGTGATGTATCTATAATCGCCCCGAAGTGAAGCAACCTGGTCATCGGGGAAAGGTAACTTTTCCTTCAGTGGATCAAGAACCCGTGGTTTCTTTGGCTCTGCAATGTGATGTGAAGGTCGCGATGGGCCGAGTGGGTTGACTGCAGTTGGATGAGTATCTCGTCTAGGTAGCACAGGACCCTCACTGGTATGGTGCGAAGTGAAGCTGCCAAAGCTGCCAAGACTTTCGTGAAGACCCTTGGGACTGACGAGAGACCGAAGGGTAAAGCCTGTAATGGACATGGTCGTTCTGATAACAAACATGGAGAAACTGGCAATGATGAGGCCAGATAGTAATGTGGAGATAAACCTCTGTAAGGTCTATGGAGGAGAGGAGGTCGCCCTCTCAAACACTCTCAAGGATAGAATGCAAGGTCTGCATCTTAAAACGCCTGTATGGGATAAATTTGTTTAAGAATTTAAGGTCCAAAAAGGCTCGCCACCCCCCCCCCCAGAGGCCTTTGGGATCACAAAGAGGCAAGAATAGAAGCCTTGACCTTGTTGATTCTCAGGAACCGGTTGAACAGCTCATATGTCGACAAGATGTTGGATTGCCGATTCTGTAACGGCCCGTTTAGAGCGGGCCCTGGAGGTGGGGCAGTGAACAAACCATCATGGAGGTGGGGAGAGAAAGTCCAGTTGGAGGCCCAACCTCACCATCTCAAGAACCCAGGCGTCCGATGTAGACTCCTCCCATCTGGAGGCAAAGAAAGCCAAACGGCCTCCAGTGGGGGGGGGGAGATGGGGCACCCATTTCGAGCGTCTGAATGAACGACCTCCTCCCCCTCAAAAGGGCCATTTATCAGGGGCCTGTTGCTGCCTGCTGGAAGTTTCAGGACGCTGTTCTTGGCGAGCAGGAAAGAACCTCTGACCTCTAGAGAACCGAGGGCTGGTTTCGGGTCTGAAAGATGAGGGGTGAAAGTATGGCCCAGGGCGATACTCGGACATTTTCCCCGCTGAAGAGAGGACCTTCCTCTTGTCCCTGGTCTCTGTCAAGTATGGTTCAAGGATGTCACCAAATAGCTTATCGCCCGTGCATGGAGCTGATGCCAACTTCCATTTACGGCAGGAGTCAGATTGCCAGTTGCATAGCCAAAGTAGCCGCCTGGCTGCCACTGAAGAAGCCATGGCGCTAGAAGCAAACTTGGCCAAGCTCAGAGTGGCACCTGCTGTAAACTCTGATGCCGCAATTATCTTACTGATATCTTGGTGTGCTCTGAATTCGGTGGCCAGGAGCCTCTCCTGAAGCTGGTGAAGCCAGCGCAGTGAAGATCTCATAAAAAACAAGGCTGCCATTGATGCTCTAATCACCCAAGCTGCTGCCTGGGGAGTGCCCTTGAGGGTTTGCTCAGAGCGTTTGTCCTCTGCCTTAAGCACATCCTCTGGTTCAGTGGGGGTGCCTGAAGAAGAAACGATGCCACTACCAGAGCATCCACCAAAGGTACCAGCAGGGCATTGGCTAGGCCGATGTTATAGAATCGTCTGTCATGAGCAGATGGGTGAGGCCACACCCCTGGAGAGATGCACTGTTCCTTCACTAGATCAAGGAAAATCAGTGGGGAGGGGAGGACCTCCATATGCACCACTGGCTTGGAGAACAATGAATCAGGGTGGCCAGATGTGGTAGTCTGTGGTTCTGGGGCCACCTCCTCAGGGCTTAGCTGTGCAGTAACCAAAGCCTTGTGTAACAGAGGCTTGAATAAGGAAGGCCTGAAAACTCCTGCTGAGGGAGGCTCATCAACTCTAAAGTCCTCTTCCTCAGACATATTGGGGTCTATGAGTTCTCCTTCCTCTTTCTCAGAATGAGTAGAGCAACTATGATCAGGGGCCTTGGAATAGTCTTTCTCTTCTTCCTCCCCCACTCCGAATGGGAGGGCTGGAAACAGAACTGCTGTCTGGGAACACCCTTCTGAGAGTGGGGACCCCTTGGGGAAAACCCTGATGTAACAAGGGCATGCCTTCCCCTTGTGGGTGAAGGAATTGTTTAAATCCTTCTGCTAGGCCCTGCCTTATGGCTACAGACCATTTCCCTAAGGTCCTCGGTCCTATTCTCCTCAGGACATAGGCCCACAGATGTTGGGGTGTAGGTTGCTTCAGGTCTAGGCCGCTGCCTCCATGAACCCCCTGGCCACTGAGGAAGGAAGGGCCAGGCCCCCAGGTAGCCTGTCTAGAGGAAGGCCCTGATCTGCTTAGGTCCTGGGGAAACTGTTCTTCCTCCACTCTCTCTGGGGACCAAGCTAACAGGTGACTCTGGAGACCAAGCTAACAGGGGTCCCCCCTTGGAAGAAACTTCAGGGCTAACGTGCACCTCCCCAGAGTGAGAAGCATGTTGAATCTGGACCCGCATCTGAGCCTTTTGCAAATTGTTCCTTAAGTGCCGCATTTCAGCAGCCTCTCCGTTAGCAGAAAGGCCTCTTTGTCTTTTCTTTTTTTCTCAAAGGGTCTTGGAATTCTTCCAATCCTTTGGGGCCAGGTTGGGGGGCTTCCCTCTCCATCTGCCTAACAGAGCAGACACCAAGGGTGCTGTGAGCTTCTCTCACATAGGTGCTGCCCGTTGCCTAGGCCAGGCGAGTCAGGAGACTGTGAAGCCTTGGGGAGGCACTTTCCCCCCCAAAATAAAATGGCCGCCTGGCAATTCTAAAATGGCCGCCTGTCATGTGGGGTGGCCCTGGGATGGCCTAGCCACCATCTTTGCTCCTTAGGCTCTTACCAGGCCCCGAGCGATCGAATTAAGCCGGAACAGCTGAGAAGTGGCAGGAATGAAGTTCCCAAGTCAGCTGAGAAGTGGTTTGGCCGGAGGCAGCAACAACGAGGTTGTGATCATTGAGGCTGCGTGGGAGGTTCCTCCAAATGTTCCCTGGGTCCGCAGTCCTTGCGCAGCAGGGCCGAAGCCCAGGCACTGCAGGAGGGCGGATCCCCGCTCTCCTGGAGACAGAGCTCTATCGGATCCTCGGGAGCTGGATTTTAAATTTATTGCTGTCGCTTTGAGTTCAAACTTTTCCTTTAGCTGTTTAAAAGCACTTCTTCCAGAGACTATGCTCTCAGACAAGAAGCTGAGCCAAAGATGGGCGGGTCAGCCAGAGGCTGGCTTTTAATAGTGGCTGACTCAGCTCTATGACGTCAGAAGGAGGAGCTTAACCCATTCCTATTCCTGGACTCTCAAGGCAGCGTGGATGAGAAGGAAACCATTTTGATCTGTGTGTATATAGATATCTAGTTAATATTTTTTTTCAATCTCTCAGCCATTATATTCATAAATATTTTGTAATTGGCGTTCAATAAAGAAATTGGTCTATAATTTTTAATGTGAGTGGTATCTCTTGGCAGATATCATTCCTTTTGAGATGTAAGGCTGCAGGGAAAAGTATTCACCGCCTTCAGTTTTATGAATAGGATTCACCCTATTGAAGCAATTTCTTTTCAATGGAAGTTCAAATTTTGTAATGCAGAAAGAGTATATTTCGCATTGTTCTAAACTGTAAACTGGTGGGCAGGTATAATTATTATACTGAACTATTATCAAGATGGTAAAAAACAGCATTTTTCACCTCTTTGAGTTGGTCTGTGCTGCCCCAAGATGCCGAGCGCTTATGAGATCCCTTTTTCTTTTCCAAGTATTCTTCAGCCCAAGCACTCTCAGTCTTAAGAAAAAAGAAAAGATAGTAATTTAGGCTATTGATGAGTAATTAGGCAATTTTAATATTAGCATATTAAAATCAATTTTCTAAAGTTATTGACCAGGTTTTATTCTGTAATGTCCCTCAATATTCATAGAAAACCAGTTTGGCATAGTGGTTAAGGTATCAAGCTAAAAAAAAAAAAAAGGAACACTGTGAGTTCTAATCCTGTCTCAGACATGAATCCAGCTAAGTGACCTTGGACCAGTCACTCTCTCAACCCTAGGAAGAAGGCAAAGGCAAGTCACTTTCAAAAATGTTGTTAAGCAAACTGCAGGGACTAGTCTATGCAATCACCAGGAGTCAACACTGACTTGAAAACATGCATACATATAAAACAAAAGGCATGAAAAAATCTGAAAAAAATTATCTATTTTTATAGTACACATATAATGATCACTATTCATTTGATAATCACATCATCCACTAATTAATTAATTAATTAATTTGGTCATCAGAGTATTATGGAGTACTTTGTCAAATTTTTTGTTAAAGATGTATTTCACCATAGCCTTACTAAGTAACCAATTTTAAAAAACATAAACAAAATAAGATTAATCTAATAAACCTGTTTTTGATAAATGCACCTTACTTCTAACAATCATGCATTTTTTTCAAGATATGTACAAACTGATCTTCATGATGTACAATCTTCTCTAGCACTGGTGTCAAACTGATTGATTTATATTCTCTGGGTCTCCATGTTCTCTTTTGTATTGCTATGATCAATAGATTCCCTTCATTCTCAAAAAATTCTCAAATATGTACAAAAGTTCCAATATATACAAAGGCAATCAGCAAATTTCTCCCACAATTTAGTATGTAATTTTGGCCCAGAGACAATAAATGAAGTCAAGAAATAAATATAATATATAATGTTAATATATATGAAATCAATTATTTATTACTAAATTCATGTTTCTCTTCATAAACAGTCTAATTTAACTTATGAAAGTTATGAAAACCATCTACTATATTAATACACATATATTGCCTATTTTGTTTATCATTCTATTTTAATTAGAACAGTTTTATAATTTTCATCTTTAAAATATATAATTTTAATATTGGCATTTAGATTCTGCATATTCATAACTGCATTTCCTTTTCATCTATTTTCCTTTCCTTTTTTAATTACAACAGAATGTATATTTTATAATCTGCATGATTAAATCAAAGAAACATTTATTTAATAAAGTTTTATCTGTACAGCTTCAAGAAACAATTACAATAGAACTTCCGGTTGCAAGGCTTCGGCGGCGGCAGGAATCCGCTTCTCTGCGGGTCCCTGCTGTGCTCGCCGCTGAGGTACCCCTGATCCAACTGGATTTGGGGGTTATCGCTGCCCCGAAGAGGCAGCGGAAGACAGAGGAGATCCGGGCAGGGGTCTGGGGATATCGCACCCCCTTTCCCCAGCCGGCTAGACTCCTTTTTCCTGAGGCGGTGGAGCGGCTGTCAGAAATGGCAGCCACAAAGGAATCTTCAACCGGATAAGACTGTGCAGGAGGAAGACAGAAGGAGAAGTTTTCTTGGCTGAACCGGGACATTAAGTTACTTTTAAAACACCCTGGAAGCCTGACTTTCGGATTGATACATTTGTTTCCAAAAGAAGTTTGTTACGGGCGGCGAAAGTGCTGAAGGAAAGTTCACTCCCCTTCCTTACGGAGAAAGCAAATGAGCACAGAAAAACCTGCTGCTTTGAGGTAAAAACAAGCTCTTTGTTATAAGTGGGAAGGAGAGGACTAAAAAAAAATCTTTAAAAACTTGTTGGAGGAGATGCTTTGGGATTTTGCCCCAGGAGGAAAAGTTGCAAAGAGAAGAAGAGGAAATAATTTCTGTCTGTTTGGATTGTTTGATAACTTTGCCATTTGCAAATTACTTTAAGATTAAAAACATCTGGGTTGTTCTTAAAAATTTACAATGGCACCATCTGTGGATCAACTAAAAATGGAATATGAAAAATTAAAAGAAAGAGAACGAAATGGCAAGAATTCATTGGGAGCTGTCTTCCACTTTTTAGAAATGGCAGTTTCTACGTACCAGCAATACTTGAGGAAGAAGGAGAATGAGAAGAAGAAGAAGAAAAGGAAGCCATTTTTAATGGACAAAAAAGTTTGATTAAGAAAATAGGAAGAGAGGAAGGAAAAATGAGAATTTAAGATTCAATAAAACAACCAAGAAAAAGAAAAATAAGGTGAAAAAAAGGTATAATGTTAGAAAGCAATTGAAAAGAGAATTACAACAGAGAGGGGAAGCTAAAAAGGTGGAGGTTAGGAGAGGGGGAGGGGCAAAAAGATCAGACTGGAGAAGAAAGGGAGGGAAAAAGGGAAAAAAAGCCACAGTCTGAAACAAGATATCTTTTTTAGAGATAAAGGATAAAGGACAGTGTATAATTTAAGAAAGATTCTGCAAGAGTACATAAGATAGTATTGTAGTATTTGCATTTGAAATAGTCTATTGGAATATTATAAGATTTAACAAAATATTAAAATATTAAAATGTTTTATAATGATAGATTTCAATATTTAATAAAATATTAAAGAGAATGTGTAAAATGATTAATGCTTAGTTATACTATTAATTAGAATTAGAATGGAAATTACATACTTAACTATATTATAAGTTTATTATTCTTTTTTTTCAAAATACAATATGTAGAATGTACTAAGCAGAATCAGGATAGAAATTATGTATTATTTTAAGTGTTACTTTAGGGAAAGGCGTCACACCTTAAAAGTGATTACAGGGGAAATTCTTTGCTAAAGAGAAGAGATAAATAGATGATTGGAAAAGAACGGACAAAAGATACAAACATAATGATTTTGAAATAAGATGAAATAAATAAAATATAATTAAGAGAGTGAAAAGAAGGGAGAAGTTATATAGAAAATATAGAATGGTTAATAAGATATGAATGGTATATAAGGTGAGCATGAACTTGATTTAGGTCTGTAAAAAAAGATGTCACCCGGGGCTAAGCCACTTTTCAAAAGAAGTTTTATGTTTTGTGTTTTGGTTAACTATGTTTTGATTGTGAATTAATAAAACCTTTGAAGAATAAAACTAAAGAGAGAGAAATTTGGAAAAGACATGTATAAATAATAATTAAGGAGGTTTTATCTTCTTATGTCTTGTTTTATGTTTTGTATTTTGTGTGTTTATGCTTGATTGAGAATTAACAAAACCTCGATAGAAAGAAATATAATTGAATAAAAGTGAAGGGAGAAACAATGAGAAATTTGGAAAAGATATATACGTGTTTAAATGGAAATGTGATAATGTGGAACTATGCCTTAAAAAATAATGCTTTATTTGCCTTGTTAAAACTTATAAATAATTTTTGAGAAAGGAGGTTTTATACTTTGATGTCTTATGTTTTGTTTGTCTTTAAAACCAATAAAACTTGTTTTATATATAAAAAAAGAAACAATTACAATAGTCTTTTCTTTCTTTTGCATTAATGTATGGAAACTGTCTTACCTGTGTGGCTTTATCCCTCATACAAGGTGTGACTTGCCCATGATTATCACGAGGCCATTGCCCAGCAAGATACGGAGCAGCAAGTATGTCTAATGAAGGGGTACGGCGGGAAATACTAGAAGGGCTTGATGATGGTGGCCGTGGTTTATCTACACATGAGACACACATATGATTCCATCAGCAAAAATAATACATATTACAGACAGATTTCATTAAATTCATTATATTTTATGTTACTTTGTTAATTAATGCCTTTACAATATATTAGCATGTATTTTTTCCTTACAATTGTTCAGGTATCCTATGCTTAAACAACATACATAGAATACTAAAATGTAGACTATACACAAATGCATGAAGTGCACAATGTCTTCCTAATATGGACGATAGGGAGTGCATATCTGGGTCCAGAACTACCGTTAATCTAGCATGCAATGGCCTTGGACAGCTGCCATGGCCACATCACCCTAGCAGAGCTGTTTGCTAATGCTTACAAATCCTTTATTTTTTCCTAGTTCAGTACTCCAAACATAGTAAGTAAATAAAGCTGCCTTTTCAATTTTCTACATTAATCCTGACATAAGTCTCCAAGAGGCATTATGAGAAATTAATTCACTGGCCATAGTCTATTAGGTAAGATTTCCAAGGTTCCAAAGGCATTTTTCCTAAGAATTACTGAAACCTGGAATTGTCCCTTGTTGACGTTATTTTTATTTAACATATATACTTCCATGCATTTTTGAACCCCAAGCCAAATGAATAATCATATGTTAATACAATGCAGACAAAATTTAGTAAGGATTTACTAAAATTTATACATATATAAATTACTAGATCATAATTTAGAGAACAGCAACAAGCAGGAGGGGGAAACACTTTTATAACAATGCAATTTGAAATTATTCTTGCTAGTGTCAAATAGCATTTCAATTTGTACTAGACAAGCTGTGACCTATTGGGTCATCCTTTCAGAGATAGTTTTCTACCTAAGCAGAGAAACAGAATGACCACCTACTGTTTTGGTTTTAAAATTAAAGAAGAAAACATTTTATTTAGGAAGGATGCATAGCAAGCAAGTATAAATGCTTCTAAAGGATGCTTTTGATGACATTTGTGGCTGATCTGCCATTCTTCAAGTATACTATAATGTTTTCACTTCTTTTTCTTTGGCTAACCAGGCTAGAATACCGGTTTCTCTAGATAAATCAGCACATTTTCCATTGTCCTTGGGCTTTATGTATAGTGAAAGCAAAGCATGACTGTACTGGGAACTGGATCCACTGAAAAGGGATATCTTCAATTGATAAACTAAGTGAAATTCTTGGAATAATGACAATATCATTTTTGAACACACCAATGTTTATATCTGCTACAATGAGATTCTTGGGTGGTTCTTCCAAGTTCTTCCACATTCCATTACAAAGTCTTAGAAGATTGAAGTTTCTCATTAAAATGTTGAAAGATTCTATCTTTAATTCCAGTTTATGTTCTGACAATCCAGAGTTCAAATGAATCAAGGAATTCTGTTGGAGAATGTTTATTTTTTTCACTGACAGCATTGAAAAAAACAGTATTTTTCATCATTCCAGGGAAGTATTTAATGCACATGAAATTTATTTTCTCATCATTTCATTTAGGGGAATTAAGATATTTGAGAACAGTTCTGCAAAGCCTGTTGAATGTTGGTTAGGTGAAATTTGCACATTATATTTTATACTTCTATTTCATGATTTTCATTTTGTCTGAATTTCATCTTCTGCAATATTCAATAAGAATTCAAAATATCTTCCTTTTCTTTCACCCAACAACATGTTGCTTTTCAACTGAAACTTCACAAAATTTCTTCATAAGTATGATTTTTTTGATGCATTAATTATCAACATTAACATAATTTTCTCTTTTCACAACTAGAAGAAGCTGATAGAAATCACCACAGCAAATGGTTAAAATTCCCCCAAAGGCCTCATTCTTCCTCTATATAACATAAACAGTATAGCTTCAGCACCTTCCTTCCTAACCATTGGGTTCTCATCCCAGAAAATAAGCATGATGAAGCAAATTTGTATGCAGTAGTGGTTTTTTTAAAAAAAAATTACAAAGAGTATTTTATACAACTTCTCACCACCTGGCATCAAAGTTGGTGCAATACCAGATGATGCTACAGCAAGAGCAACATCTCCATCTCCCCTAGCTTTAGCAAGGATTAAATTGTTGACAAATATATTTCCTTTTACCCCCAGTGAATCGATGAAAATTGTCCCAAAGGTGCTTTTTTAAGTGGCAACTGGACTTTTTGGTTTTTCTTTGAAGACATTTTGCTTCTTATCCAAGAAGCTTCTTTAGCTTCTTCCATTCTTTTAAAAGAATGCAAATGACAAGCTGACTGCAAGTATAAATCCTTCCATTCTCCACCATCCAGTCAGAGCTGAAGATGAGAAGCGAAATGACTTCAAAAAAAAATAATGAAATCCAGTTGCCTCTTGAAAAAACACTTTTGGGACAACCATGACCTGGATGACTGAGAATCTCCATAGACATTAATGAAAATTATTGAAAAAAGATTGCTTTGCAAGTAGTTACACCCATAGTTATATATTGCTCTTTGCTCAATGTTCAATAGGTGCTCATTGTGTAGTACAAATTCCTGCTGTCTGTTGTACTGCACTTCATGCAATAATTCCAGATTACCACATTTGAATTAATTATATTTGTTGGTTTTAACAAATTATATTCTTCTGGAGTTTTTTCAAATTTTACAGGTTTATCTTAGAGAATACAGTAGAGCAGTGATCCCCAACCTTTTTTACGCCGCGGCCCGGTACCGGCATCAGCTGGGCGCCGCGGCCCGGTACCGGCATCAGCTGGGCGCCGCGGCCCGGTACCGGCATCAGCTGGGCGCCGCCATCTTTTTTTGATGAAAAAGTGCTTCCGGTGAGCTTTCTACCCGGAAAAGCTCACCGGAAGCGCTGGCGCCGCCATCTTTTTTTGATGAAAACGTGCTTCCGGTGAGCTTTCTACCCGGAAAAGCTCACCGGAAGCACTTTTTCATCAAAAAAAGATGGCGGCGCCCAGCAAGCCAGCGGCCCGGTAGGACTTGTTCCGCGGACCGGTCCCGGTCCGCGGACCGGTGGTTGGGGACCCCTGCAGTAGAGCATGTTCACAATGCCTCTCATTGATAATATTTGCTCTCTTGATTTGTAGGAAATCTTCAGATTTCTTGAACTGGTTCCACAATTGTCATGGGATTGTTGATTTCAGTGTTTGTTAATAAGACAACAAATTTCTCATTGCTCTGGGGATTCTTGTTATTTTGGCATCTTCTCTGGTTTGCTGCAAATGATCATCAACTTGAAACAATCCTTTCTCTTTGCAAACATCTTTGAATAATGGAAGGATATGTCCATTATGTGTCTTCAATTATTTGAAAGCAATTGGAACCTCAATGTGATGGAGAAGTAGAGGTCATAAGTTTGTGGAGACACAGTATACACTTCATCTAGAACAGGGGTGTCAAACTGCGGACCATGGGCCAGATACATCATGCACAGGCCATGCCCACCCCAGCTCTGTGAAGGGAAACAGTGTGATTTTGTCTTCTATTTTCAGTGCAAAAATTGCCTGATCACTCCCCTTCATGGAATACTTGATATTTGACAGATTTGACAGATGCGCATATTTCTATATTAAGATAACAATTTAACTTCAATACTTATAAATTAACAGGTACCACCTACTGAGAAGTTATAGTTGGCTATCATCCTGCTTATCCTTCAAATTATCCTGTTTCTGAACACTGTCATCTGTAGATAGGATATGAAACATTACCACACCTTGTATGCTTACTGAATGGCTTTGGGTACCTCTTACTGCATGTACCATTTTCCCAACACACTTTTGCTGCAATATTGGTCATGTGCTTCAATACTAATTTATGCAGCTTTGGATCTTAATTTGGGTCTGCTTGCACAAATGTACCATAATCTTGATTTCTTGGCTTGGATTCTTTATCAAGCCATAGCAGGTAGTGCAAATGAGACAGATGCCACTTTTGGTATTTCACACATAGTACATAAGTGATACACCTACCAGGAACCATATTTTAAAGGTAAGTGTCATACATTTCTTTCTCTCTTTTTACAAGTTAGAACAGAGATCTAATTCACTTGAAAAATCAATCCAGTCAGTACCACACTCAGATATCTAAGTTGAACTATGGAATGATGCATGTATTTGCTAACACCCAATTGTTTACCAAATATACATAGGAAAATTTATTAATACAATTTTAAAACAAATTTAGTTTTGAATCAGTTCTCTGATAAAGTATTAATTATAGCAATTCAATCAAAGCCACTGCTTCTGAACATATACAATACATTAAAAAATCCACAATACTGAAAAAAAAACTGATAAACAGAGACCTGATGTAGATGTATACAAGACAATTAACATTTCTCCAGTTGCTTCTGAAACTGACATTCATATTGGGTTTTAAAATAAACCCTTACTTTAACAAACATACATTTTTGAGACTTCCAATTGTTATATGCTTTTGTGTATGTACTAAATCCCATCTGCTAAACATACAAGTGTAAAATTTCATTTGGATTCAACAGATGTTTACATTTAAAGGAATGCCCATTACATTAACCCATTAAAAGAAAGGTATATAAAGAAGGTCAACTTAGAAACATAAAAGCATAGCAGAAATCTATTGTGTGGTTTCATATTAAATGCACAGATCTTGTCACATAATACTTCCGACAACTGTAACTAAACTGATAAATTTGTCATTATTATATAACCTTGAGGCTTGTTTGCTCAATTTACTACCTAGTATCCAGAAATATTTCACCTTTATGTGCCAGTAGCTGTCCATTTTGATTGATTCTTAATTACAGATACAAAGATGTATTAATTAAGCAAATGCCAAAATATATGTGCAGTTTCAAGACTGCAAATATCAAGCCATATTTAATTAGGGCTACCAGATCTGAACTGCAAAACTCCAAATAGCCTTTAGATGGCAACAATTTCTTTGCTCTTTTAATGGAGTGCGTGTGTCTGGATTGTTACTATCTAGATAGGGTAGCCCTACACTTACTTACTACTACCAATGAAGTATTTTTAAACTTTTTTCTGAATCCAT